GAAAATCCGTTATCTTTAAACTTTGTCTAACTTACTAGGTTAGACATAAAGAAAACAAATTTATTTAAACTTGTATTTAAATTGTACCATATTCATACTGCTAAAATGGTGAAAACTAAAATCTGAAATTTATTAAAATGCAAGTTCAAGTCTTAATATGCGTAGCGGCAATACTTAAAAACGTGATTATTATACAGACATAACAAGTCCATAAATAAATGTCCACAAATGCACGACCACCACCACCACCTCTGAGCTCACACCTCCGACCCGACCCCGCTACCTGAAAAACACAATGGGGGTGAGTACTGGTCCTTTTGTACCCCAAAATAACCCATAATAAAGTAAACAACAATAATAATACAATATCATGATCGTTGGTATATATATGGGCTGGAGATCTGTTCCAGTAACTGAAACTGAATCTGTAATCTGGCCGATATCTGATCGGGTACGTGTGCACACTCTGATGGATATTTCTAAGGCAACTGAGGGCCTCCATCAGAACTTGGAATGTATTTTTAAGGCAACTGAGGGCCTTCATCCTAAGCATATAAACTGTATACATACCTCGGGCATGATATCAATATTATAGTCAATGTAACCGAGTACATCGAAATTGTTTCAACTCTTACCAACATCATATATATATGATTTATAAGGATTTATAAACTTTCAATCTTGTCTTAAACTTAAAATCTCAACTTAATGCTCATTCAATACAAGTTTTTATCATAACAATAAATTATGATATTTATATACTAGACCTGAAACAATTTTATAAAATCGAATACTCAACATATTAAACTTAAACTTAGTCAAATTGCTCATCGCTCATATGAGAATTTGTCATAAAAATTTAACTTTAAAAACTCAACCATGTACTGAATACTCTTGTATATAAAATCATCTTGACATGTAGGCCATATAAATATTTTAACTCATTCATTTCTCAACATAAAATCATGAAAATTGGCAGTCATGTTCACAACCCATATATAAGCATGTCTTACAAATTTCATAATTTTATCATGCACTATATCAAGTTACTAGAATTTTAAAGTAACAGCTGAAATAAAGAACATAAAATTCAACTTGCATGCTTAACTTCAAAAATCTATAACTCAAGCTATACTATGCCAAATGACATGATTCTTTTTCTTATGTACTCCTTATTTACATAAGAATTACTCATCTAAATCATACTCTACTGGTTTATTCTTGTTGTCAGTATTTTTACCGGAGTAGAATTGAAAGATTCGTTCCTGGGTCGTATCGCAAGGAAGGTTAGCCAGATATTCTTGTGCGTATATTCAATCACAAAAAAGAGAAGAACAATTCCTAAACACTCTAATTCAATATTTTTGAGTTTCAATTATCAACTACTGATTTAAACTAAATAAAATGAAAGTAAATAGCAAATGGATTCTCTGAATGATTAAAGAGCTAGGGAATCGGGATAATTGCTTTCGGTTCCAACACAATTACCGGCAATCGATTGTTCTGTTAGAGGTCTTGAATCGTTTCTCGTTCAGAGGTTCACTCTCAATAACTCTTCGTAACAAGAGAGTGAATGTAAACGATCAACTATCAATTCCAACAACTCATAGATAATATGTTTCCAAACAAATCTATTCTAAACGAGCCTAATTCAACCAACGTCTCCCCTCTCGGTTCTACACGTTGATTATCTAGGTTAGAAAGGTGATCAATCTACTAACCCTATAATTCACACAACTCGCATAGACATGAACAATTGAAAGCACTCAATTATAACGAACCTAATCAATCATCCCCTACCCCTAGCGAATGGATTTAGCTACTCATAACGAATTTAACATCAACATTCATATGAACCCAAGTCATCATCATCAACAAAGCAATTGAGAAAAAGAACTTACGATTAATATAAAGAATCCAACGTCAAATCCAAGTGCATCCAAATCCAAAGCAAGAAATAGGAGTTTTTCAATCTCCAAAACAAATCAAAAGTGCAAAAGTATGAAAAGGAATGAGTTTCTAGAGAGAAAAAGTGTAAAAATCAAAGTCTGGAAGTGAATAATGAACCCTAGGATCGAAACCTGTTCTAAAAATCCCGTCCTCGAAATTCGCGCCGGTTAAGTCGCGACTCGCGAGATCGTCTTTTCCTCGGTCGCGAGTCGCGCGTCGTCAAAATGTTAAACTTCTGGGGTTGGGTCGCGACCCCGTCTCGCGAGTCGCGACTCTTGCTCGAACCTGCACCTTTAGCCCCAGTTTTTCCCGTGGGTCGCGACCCGAGTCGCGAGTTGCGAGTCGACTCGCGAGTCGCGAGAATTTCTAGGCGCATTTTCTGTCCGCTTTTCAGTCTTCTTCGTCGTCTTCTGGGTTCGGCCACGGGAATTCTCGATATCGCGGTCTCGGCTCAAGCAGTTCCAACTCGACCGGCACAACCTATCTCCTGAAAACACAAACACAGAAAAAACACGAAGCAAAACACGGCAAAAAGACACAAAAATATAAACTAAGGAGAAAAACACAAAACGAACAAAATGAACCAAATAAACAACAAAAAACCTACAAATGGGGGAAAACAAAAAGAAAATAAACATGAATAAAGACACAAAAATGGGACAAACAATTCTTATCATTATAAGAGTCTCATTAAAACCGAGTACATCTATCATACAAATAATCTTAAAATAATTTTAACTTCTTATATTCATTAATTCAATTATAAATTCACCTTTAAGTCATTAGTATATACTAATAACCATTTAAACTCATCTATAAAGTATGAAATTAAGACAAGTAGATTACCTTTTTCTTGCTAGAAAATCGATTCTTCCTTCCTTCACAAATTATATAACTTTTGTAATAAAACTATATAACTTTTGTAATTTCTCTTTGATGAATATCTCTTAAATCTAGGCCTCTATTTATAGGCAAAGTTTTTAGACACCAACATTGAGTGAAGAAATTAACCTAATAAACAAATAAAACTTATAAAAATAAACAATCATAAACATTACAATTTCTAACTTGTAAAAGTCACCAACACTTAAATTAATGCTAAAAAATTGACACTGATTGATATCACAATCGAATTCTCAATAATCAGATATTTCTGTCGGTCACACGACTCGTGTGACCTCACACGACTTGTGTGGCTTGTGTCACACGACTCGTGTGGCTTACCACACGACTTGTGTGAAAAAGCCGAAGCTAACCTTTTGTCTGATCTTTGTCCACACGACTTGTGTGGCTTGTCACACGACTCGTGTGATGTTCCAGATTGAACAACTCTCCATTTCCAACTTATAACTGAATAACTTGGCCTCGTAATTAGTTCAATCATTGAACTGATTCTTTAATTCATAATTAGAAGGGATATTACAGTTCTACCACAAAAAATTATGGCCCTCGAGCCACCTGCTCGAGATTCTTCCATGGAACACTTATGGCCCCTGAGCTACCTTCTCAAAGTTCTGCCATTGAAAAAATTATGGCCCTCTAACTAATTACTCGAAGTTCTGCCACTGAAAACTTATGGCCACTGATTCACCTGATCGGGTTCTACCACGAAAAACTTATGGCCCTCAAGCTACTTGCTCGGAGTTCTACCAAAACATGTTGCTTTTGACCGACCTGCTTGGCGTTCAGCCACGAAAAAATGGACCCAAAGCTCTCTGGTCGGGGTTCTGGCATGAAAAACTTATGACCTTCGAGCTACCTGCTTGAATTTGTTCTACCATCAATTAACTTTTGGCCCCTGAGCTAGCTGTTCGAAGTTATGTCATCTTTGAACTTATGGCCCATGAGCTACCTGCCCAGGGTTAGGCCACTAATAACTTATGCCCCCCGAGCTACCGGCTTCGAGTTCTGCCACTAAAAACCTGTGGCCCCTGAGACACTTGTTCGGGGTTGTGCCCATAAAAAATTATGGCCATCGAGCCACCTTCACAGGGTTCTGCCATGAAAATCTTATAGCCCTCGAGCTACCTTTTTGAAGTTTTGTTATCCTTGAACTTATGGCCCCTGAGCCACCTGCTCGGGGTTTTTCCATCCTTGAACTTATGGTCCCCGAGCCATCTGCTCAGGGTTTGACATCCTTGAACGTATGACCCCCGAGCCATCTACTTGTGGTTCTGCCATGAAAAATTTATTGCCCCTGAACTTTCTGCTCGGAATTCTGCTATCTTTAAACTTATGGCCCCCAAGCCATCTGCTAGGGGTTCTTCCATCCTTAAACTTATGGCCCCCAAGCCATCTGCTAGAGATTCTGCCATCCTTGAACTTATGGCTGCCGAGCCATCTGCTCGGGATTCCTCCATCATAGAACTTATGGGCCTCGAGCTATCTACTCTTGGCTCTTCCATCCTTGAACTTATGACCCCCGCTCCATCTGCTCGGTGTTCTGTAGGTTTTTCCATCCTTAAACTTGTGGCACCCAAGCCATCTTCTCAGATTCTGCCATCCTTGAACTTATGACCCCGATCGATCTGCTCAGGGGTTCTACCATCTTTGAACCAAGCCTTTTGCTGAGGAATCTGACATCCTTGAACTTATGGCCCTCGAGTCATCTCCTCGGGGTTCTGCCAACCTTGTGATTATGGCACCTGAGTTATATTCTCGGGGTTCTGCAAACCTTGCACTTATGGCCCCCCATGCTTTCACTTGTTATCATAGCACCACAATAACATTTTACGAAAAATAGGCAAGCAATAAATATTATTCCACAAAAATTATCCCAAGAGACTTATCATAGAAGTTGAACTTGACCAGCGGAACAAGTAGGGATTAGTTTATGTACCTAGGGTAGAAAATATCACTCTCGAACTCTTCATGTAAATCATCGGGGCTCAAGAAAAACTCGTCGATTCCTCCTGTGATCTCTTCGTAAAACATCTGAGCTCAAAGCACTTCTTTGGGGTCCTTTCGACCTCCCTATGAGAAAACTAGGATGCAAACTTCTCGTTTAGACTTTCTGCCTTATTTTCAAAAATAACTTAGGCGCGAACTTTTCATTGATCAGACCTCTCTAAGAAAATAATCGTGGCGAGAAACACCCTAGTGGGTCTTTCTGACATCTCTACGAAAATAATTGTGGCGCGAAACACCTCATTTGGTCTTTTCGACTTCTCTACGAAAATAACTATGGTATGAAACTTCTCGCCGATCCTTCTCGACCTTCGTACTAAAATAGCCAGGGGGCAGAACTTCTCTTTGGATTCTCTTGACCTCTCACATATAACATCGAGCTTGAAACGACTAGTAGGGTCCTCCCCACCTCTCATCGTAGAACGTCAGAGCTCAAAATACCTTATGAGTCCTCCCTGACCTATTCACGTAAATCACCGGGCTACAGAATACCTCGTCAGGTCCGCCCTACCTTTTTTCACAAATCTTCGGGTTTTAAAATACCTCGTTTGGTCCTCCCGACCTTTCCACGTAAAACATAGGGGCTCAAAACAACTCGTTGAGTCCTCATGATCTTTCCACGTAAAACATTGGGCCTCGAAATGACTCGTCGAGTCCTCCCAGCCTCGCGTTGTAAAACATCAGAACTCAAAATAATTCGTCGTTTCCTCCCGACCTCTTCACGTAAAACATCAAATCAAAATACTTCATCGGGTCCTCCCGACCTCTCCACATATGGGTTTCTTATTTTCTTCCTCCTCTTTTGTTCTCCCAGCCATAATTTTTCATTTTTTGTACTTTTGTTGCTTCCAATCAAAAGACAATCCTCACATCCTGCGGCTCTTTGGTTTTGAATTCTACTATTTTCCTTCTTTTTTTTTTCCCTCCACTGAATGCTACCAACAACATCTAAGCCTCCTCAATTTTCCACTTGATCTTTGTTTCTCGGGCTGAACAATCCACACAACATGCAAACCTCCTGGGACCAATTTATGTGTATTGTTTTTAATTGATGTTATGTTGCATCAATTGGTAACATCCACTTAAATGTGGTAGTGTTACAACTTCATCTCCATTATATATGGAGTTATGAAGTGGGCATTGAAGCCTTCATGAAGTGTTGTTAATTCATGTCTTCATTAATAGTTGTATGAGGACAACTATAAATAAAGAGCTTGTTCGTCTTGAAAGAGACACGAGACGAAGAAAAACAATTTGAATTTATATCACAACAAATAATCTTTAAGTGCATATATCTCTGGTTGAGTCGAAACCATCACAAGGCTGCTCGGGTTTTAGAGCGTGGAGGATACCGACGACTCTAGTAGCATTGGATAAAAGATACGGGCACGTTTTCGCTTCCGCTATATAAAGGTTAGTCCTATATATATTTATATTTGTGTTATATAAAACCACTAACAGTGGTACCAGAGCCCATTTATTCCTCTGCGCGTATTTTTTGATAAATGAATATATCTATGTATTTGTTGTTAGTATTTTTATTTTAGTGTTAATTAAAGTGGGTGGTCAACCATCAACCACACCCGACATTTGTATACCACACCCAACCAATATTCCAACCAATATTGTTTATTAATGTGAGTGGTTACAACCATTTACTAATTTATTAATGTGAGTAGCTCCAACCATCACCTGCCATACTAATTTATTTATGTGAGTGATTGATTCCCATCTTTATATATGGGGAGGTTCTTTGAGAAGAGAAGTCACCGCAGAAGTGATGAAAAAAATAAAGAATAGAAGAGAATGAATACGGGAGAAAAAGGAGAAAAAATAGAGAAAGAGAGGAACAAAAGAAAAAAAATTATTCCAATAAGATGATTGAGTGATAAAAATAGTTGTGATAAAAATAGAGAAAAATTATCATAGAGATAATTTTATTACTATTTTTAAGTGCTCAATTCTCGACTCCAATCTAGTTCGCTGGAGCTCGTAAATCTGGTGTGCTACAGATTTAGAGACGTTTGCCGTTGTATATTTGGGGAAGTTACGCCTGAACCGTTAGCAGCCACACGGGGCGTATTCTTCTTGCAAAAAGAGTTTTACTCGCCTCGGCTTAAAATCTTTCTGTTTTAATTTTGTTTTACAGTTGTAATTTATTTCCGGTTATATATATATATTGTATTTGTCTAATATATTTCAGTTCGTAGGTATCCCGTGTGTATTTCAACAAGAAATTTCCAGCAAAAGCAAGAAGAATATTTCGACCTACTGAACTGATGTTTTTCACCGGAAATGGTTCCAACACTTAGCAGACGATTAAAAACGGTGTTCATAATCATCATGTACCTGCTGTCAATATCCCCACTACTGAGAAATTGGAAAAATTTAACAGGCTTGATTTCAAGAAGTGGCTGTTGGAGATGCACTTTTACCAAACAACTTTGGGTTTGGTGAAGTACCTGAAAGACGAACATCCGGTCATTGCTTAAAATGGAACCAATGTCGAACTACGCGATGTGTACGAGGCTTGGGGGCAAGGTGATTACCTTTGCCGTAAGTATGTCCTGAATGGACTTAGTGATGAGTTGTACAATGTGTACATCTTTGTTGGTTCTGCCAAAGAGCTTTTGGCTGCTTTGGATGAGAAGTACAAGAGTGATGATGTCAGGCGAAGAAATTCGTCATCGGCAAATTTCTTGACTTCAAAATGTTAGACACTAAGACCATCGTGTCTCAAGTGCATGAGTTTTAGCTCATTTTGCATGATATTCATGCTGAAAGAATGTCTCTGAGTGAGTCATTTCAAGTTGCGGCTATTATTGATAAACTGTCGTCGGGTGAAAAGACCGACTCTGATATGTCGGCTGTGGTGTTCGAAGCCAATATGGTGGATAACCCAAGGGAGTGGTACATCGATAATGGTGTCACTCGTCATGTGTGTTCCGATAAGGAGGTGTTTTCTGAATACACTTCTGCTAAGGGTCGGAAAATTTCACATGGGAAACTCCTCCACGTCTGATGTGGCGGAGTTGACACTATGGTGCTGAAGCTAACTTCTGGAAAGAAGTCGATACATCAAAATACATTTTGGATTGTATGTCTATATGTAGACGATATGTTGATCATGGAAAGTAGCCATGAAGTGATCATGGATACGTAAAGAATGTTGAAGAGAAACTTCGACATGAAAGATATGAGTTTGGCTGATGTTATTCTTGCGATAAGGATTATCAGAACTCAAGATGGAATTGTCTTGTCACAATCTCAGTCATGAGAACTGGAATTGTCTTGTCACAATCTCAGTCATGAAAGATATGAGTTTGGCTGATTTTAAGTGCTCAATTCTCGACTCCAATCTAGTTCGCTGGAGCTCGTAAATCTAGTGTGCTACAGATTTAGAGACGTTTGCCGTTGTATCATTGGGGAAGTTAAGCTTGAACTGTTAGCAGCCACACGGGACGTATTCTTCTTGCGTAAAGAGTTTTACTCGCCTCGGCTTAAAATCTTTCTGTTTTAATTTTGTTTTAATTTTGTAATTTATTTCCTGTTATATATATATATATGTATATATATATATTGTATTTGTCTAATATATTTCAGTTCGTAGGTATCCCGTGTGTATTTCAACAAGAAATTTCCAGCATTTGTTACATAAAATTCATCTATTGATTAACTAAGTGTTAAATATAGAATGAGTGTCATTCATGAATTTGTGATCATGAAAATGACATAAAGAGATAATAAAAAAAATTGATATGGGGGAATAATTAGGTTTTGTGGCCTAAGTAGTGTGTAAATAAAGATTTTAATGTGAAGAAGATTAATAATTATTTTACAATCTCTTCATTATATCTTCTTCTTTCATATTCTTTGACCAATAATAATATTCATTATTATTATGGTTTTTAAATATTTATATGGTATTCATGTTTACCATTACAAAAAAATAAATCTTTTCGAAATTGTCATAATATTTGTAATTATGATTAAAAAAATAAATCAATATTTTAGTAATATTGTGTCTAACTTTTTGTTATTATTTAAATTATCTAAGTGATATTTAAATAATTATTTAATATGATACATGAATATATGTTATTCATGTTGTGAGACTTAAATATCTTTGTGATGTTTATATTTGTGTTTATTTGTTAAACAATAACATGAATAAATGAATATGTTTCATTAGAATAAGGTTAATTAATGTATATTTAGTTTTGTTTGTGTTATTTGTGATGATTATGAGCTTGGCGAAATTTTCGAACTCATGGCATAAACAAAAATAAAAATGATAATTTAATTATATTGACCTCATGCCTAATGTCAATTTAATATACTTGTAGATGACAACTAAATCTATGATTGGAGATTTGTCCTCCAACAAAAAGCTAAATGGTACCAGACATCTGGCATAGGAAGATTCAGTATCTTCTTAATGAACGTGAGGTTTTAGAAACCTTGTCCACTACTGTGATTGAGCCAAATGATACTGCTAGTGTGCAGTACAAGGAAGAATAGACAATCTATCAGACATGGTCTAAAAAGGATCGTTCTGCACGTTATACTATGTTGTATTGTATGCATAATGATCTTATTGGAGAGTTTTAGAATTGTCCCACGGCTAAAGACATGTGGGACAAGCTTAAGGTCACCTTCGGGAAAACTTCGGCTACTAGGATCCGTGCCTTGAACTTAAAGTGGATGGATTACAATATGAATCATAAGCACTCTGTTGCCGAACATTTGCATGTCATGAGTGCTATGATGCGTGGCCTCAAAGAACGTCGCTAAACATATTGAAATGGAAGTAGAACATCAGAGAACGTTAGCACCTTCTAATGTTGCATTTATTGCCCATTGTGGTCAAGCCAAGGGAAATAAGCGCAAAAGAGCCAAGAAATTTTTCCGTCCTTCTCAAAATTCTGGACCAAACGGTGGTTTCAAGAAACAACTTATGGCACATGGCCAAAAGGAGAAGAAAATAACGCGTGTGAAGTGCTATAATTGTGGACAGAAAGGTCATTTCACTCGTGATTGCGCTGAGCCAAAAAAGGTACCTTCTACCACTAACTCTTTTGAATTATTTGTTTGTTCTCATGCATTAGTTGCTAATTCTATTCCTAATTGGATTATAGATACGGGAACAAGCAAGCACATAGTTCATGAAAGATCAGGATTTGTGGAATTCCACCGGTTTTCTATTGGCACTCAAACTGTCATGTTAGGGAACGAGAGCGAGGAAGATGTCCTTGGGTTTGGAACATACCAACTTAAACTCCATGCTGGAAATACACTACTCCTGCATGATACTCTCTATGCACCCGGGGTGCGAAGTTGTTTACTTTCAGTTGTTTCCTTGTTATAACTTGGTTTTCCTTTAATTTCAATACTGGTGGTTTGGACATTTTATATCATGACAATTTATTCGGACATGGTATTTTACAGAATGGTTTCTTTGTTCTTGACTTGGATGAAAGTTATAATGACTTGTCACATGCTTTTGCTTCATTTTATAATATTGATTCTGAATCTGTTAAATGTCATGCGCGACTTGGTCATATTGGTCAAGATAGAATGTCCAGGCTAGCTAAAGAGGGACATTGGGGACAATTGACTAAGGTTAAATTGCCTAAATGCGAACCTTGTTTAGCCGAAAATTCTACTAAAAAGCCTTTCGGTAAGGCATCAAGAGCATCAAATCCTTTAGAGCTGATTCATTCTGATATTTGTGGGCCTTTAAATATAAAAGCTCGTCATGGGGCTACATATTTTATTACCTTTATTGATGACTATTCAAGTTTTGGGTATGTGTACC